TTTTTTTCCTACAAGGGCATCAGCCTCCACAGTTTATTTTTATCACCTAAATGTGTTATCTAAAAGTTTTTATTCTAAAGCAACGCCATAAATGTAACAGTCGGGTCCCTGCACCTCAGGGTAGAAAGTATCTTAGATTTTCATTTGCAGTATTCAGTTTCTCCCTGCTTATTTCCAGTAGACGGTTCACCAGCAAATCTGTTTTCTGATTTGTTTTTTTCCTACGCCTTTGAACCAAATCTAGGGAGACTGATCAGCCACCGTTTTGATTATTCAACGAAAATTGCTTGCTTATTCTTATTTATTCATTTCATTTGGGGAAATTGAAAAAATATTTTTTCTTTACTTCTCTTGCCCTGAATCTCCAAGGACATTGCCTGACTTCCAGTAGCCAAGGTAGATGCAAAAGCCAGCGGAGCTCCAACCCATCACTGCTGACTGGACCTGGCTTCCAAAACGATATGCAAGTCTAGGGGAAGAACTCAAACACCTCCGTGATCATAAGCAGGCCAAGGGAAAACAATGGGTCCATGTAGAGCAGTGGGTCCTGTTTTCTTGCTCTTGGGGATGTATTTTAATGCTAATTGGCACCATGCTCAGTACCTTCTACTTGGGGTCTGGGAAATTTGTGTGTTCCAGCCTGGGGAACAGGTGCTGTGACTGATGCACTCCTCACCTGGTGGTCTTTATGATAGGGAGGACGCACTGGCCTCACGTTAGGTGGCATAGCTCACGAGGGGCCAATTCGTCCATAAGTTCTTCTTCTTTCTTCCCTGTCACCCTCTGTTTACTGCTTCAAGGTGTTTCAGTTGCACTAAGGCACATTCCCATTTGCAGGGCGCTAGTTTGCTCTTTGCGCCTTCCCTAATGGCTTGCAATTCCCGTTTCTGGCGCAGTTCTTCCAATTACTAGTTTCTCTCTCTCTCTCTCTCTCTCTCTCTCTCTCTCTCTCTTCCCTCCCTCCCGCTCTTGCTCTCTCTCTCTCTCTAGTACTTTTTATTGTTTTGAATTGCAGTATAGCGGGATCTCCTTTGCAAAACGATGCGTGCCTGTGGGGTATAGTGAGGTGCCCCTTTTGAGCCCTCACATAAAGCACTCTAAGCTTGCGCTGCTTTTTAAAAAAGAAAATTTAAAAAGAAAATGAAGAGATTCTATTTGTTTGACTTTGATTTCAAACCATACGACTTACGGCACAATGCTCTTTAAAAAAAAAAAACAACAACCCCCAAACTGCAAAAGTGCAGGGCCTGGGCTGAGCCAGCGCACGCCTGAGCAAAAGCCCACTCCTAGGTCCTGAGGCAAGGTCTTGGAAGGAAAACCTAGGATCCGGCCCTGTGGCCCTGCAGGCCGCTGGCGGGTGCCAGAGTGTGTAATTAGGCCCATGCTTAGCTTGGGTTTTTTTGTGATGCCGCGAGTATTTTCTGCTCTTTTGGTTCCTTCTCGGCAGAATGGAAAGGAGAACCTGTGGGACCGGAAACGGACTTCATCTACTTGTTTAATTTTCAGCTGGAGATCTTGAAAAGCGTATGCACCGGGAATATTCTAGCTTGTTGCACGTTTCGTTAGAACCCAAACAACTCCACAAAAAAATTCTATCAAAAATCACGGCAATACAGGAGACGTGAAATAGGAGCGACTGTCAAAGGACAACCTTGTCAACCAGCCCCTGGCTTGCATCCTGAACTTTCGGGTGCCACGTTCATGGCTCAGGTGGCAGAATAGCCAGAGTATACTCACAGGCGACCTCTCTGTTTCCAGCCCTCAGGTACTTGAAAGGCAGCACACACCCCGTTCGTGCCTCCTCTTGGACTCACATATCTAGCACACAACTTGCCTTGCCTTCTTTCCCTGCCTTGGAATACCTGGGCCAAGTCCTGAGACCGTTCAGTGACCCTCACATTTGTCCTCTGTCCCTGTGGGAGTCCAGTCCCGAGCGGAGGAGTCACGATCCCGGCCCCCTGCATGCACTCTCAGCTCAGTGGCTTCCATGCACCTGGAGACAACTCTTTCCTTTCTTGCACACTGTGCCCAGTGCGCGCAAACTACAAGCAAAACCCAGTCAAACAAACCCGCAGAATCTTTGAGCTCTTTACCTCTGTGCTCTTCATTACTGATCAGTTGCTGTCCCCCGTTTGGTTGGAGAGGACCAAACTGCATCCGGAGAAGTGGAAGAGACTTTTCTTTTCCTTCTGCAATCCTACCTTTGGGCCACCTCGTTCCCAGTCCATCCAGCTCGCAGCGCGGGAATCCGCGGAGCCCAGCGGTGGCTCGACAGGGGGCGACAAACTGTAAAGTTTTCTTGGATGTCTGGCTGGGATCTGCAGAGAGCGCTGTGTGGTCCGGACCAAGTGTAGCTGGCTGCTTAGGAGGCGGACCTGGGTGAGGTGAAGGCCGGAGGGTTCTACTACGCCAGAGGCCACCTCCTGCTTTCACGGCGCAATCCCCAATTGTCCCTTCAATGCTCTCCTCCAGCCGTCCAGAGGGAGTAGGATGCTGTCTGAACTGCAACCTCTTTGCCAGAGCACCTGCTCTTCTGGCAGAGGTGGGGAGGAGGATGTCCCTCCGAAAATTATAGTTGGGGCTAACTGGCTCTCAGCACGACTTGCTTTATTTGCCCTGTGAGCATGCCTATCAATTCCTCACCTATAGGGGGAAGAAATAGATTTAGCTGCGTTTCCAAGTTGCTGGGAGGTACTGGGTTGCGATCTTGTACCTCGGAGATCCCACGGAGAACAAGCCTCTAGATCTGTGCTATGGGGTTCCTAAATAACTAGAGAGAACTCAGTGGGTAGCGTCCCGGTTCCCACTCCTTGAAGCCTTGCAGGGCCACCTGGCATTCTATGTCTTTTGCTCAGTGCCTTCGCAGTACTCCTGTCTCCGTCATGCACACCTTAATCCAGACCATTCCTTTGGTCTTTACCCCGAGGCTGCGCTATCCCAGGACAGACCTGGTCTTCCGAAGAAATGGGTGTCTCTGCTCTCACTCCCGTATCCTCTCGGTAGAGCACTGACATCCCTCTCTGCCCCCCAAAAAACCCACCTCTTTCCCATCGCAGCGACCTCCCCTAAGCTCTTGGAGCTGGAGGAGTCTGCTCTGTGTTCTCCGTGCTGCTGGAGGGGAATAGTCCTCAGTTCTTTTGAACCTGATTTTTCTTTTTCCACGGGGTAATTCTTGCCATGGTCTCAGCCTCAGTCTTCCCAGACTTGTGCGCTTTCTCCGAGGAACCCAGGATTTATAGTTTAGGTCCTCCTGACACATTCGGATGGGCTGACTAGCAGCCAGCGATGCTCTCTGGCCCCGCAGCGGGTGAAAAATGGTCAGGGCTTCTCCCTCGCGGCTGGTCTGATAGGGTTCATCTGCGTCTGGGGTAGAATCACTGAGTTGCGCGGCCAGCAACTGTGGGCCGCTATAAAGAGCTAAACCAGCGAGGGATGTGTGTTGGGAGATTTCCGCCCCCTGCCTTCTTAGGAGCGTTGAGAGTGAACAGCTGTTTCTAGGCTCTCCTTTCTGGTCCTGCGCATTCAGCCGTTTTCTTGGTCTTTACTGACTCTAAACTCGGAACTCCCAAGTCCAAACCTCTTTTTTTTTTTTTGATGGTGCTGGGATTTGAACTCAAGGCTTCACGCTTACAAAGCAGGCGCTTTGCCGCTTGAGACAAACCTCTAGTCCAAGTTTAAGCCTCTCTGCATTATCAGTTCAGACGCAAAACTACAAGATTTCTTTCCCCTCCCCCCACTTGCTCTCTCTTGATCTCCGCATGGCTCCCGCTGGGATTGTCACAGATGGCAACACACGATGGGAAATACAGAACTGAGCCTATTATTGCCAATACCAAGGAATTCAGGGATACGGAAATCCCTGCTTAAATGAAAGGACCATTAGGTAGTTTAGCAGAGATCTCTTAGAAGCTGTTGTGCTGGGAAAAAGCTAGACCAGGCCCACAGGGGATGGAAGAGTGCAGGATTCCATGGCCTGGGAGAAAGGGACTGTCGTCTTTCTGGCCTAGAGCTGGAGTTATGCCTGTGAACTCTTGCAGATCGCCAGGATGCGCTTGCGGTGGGACAGCATGTCAGAAACTTTCCTGCCTTGCCTCGCATCGCCTCTCTGAAAGGAATGAGTTCTGGTGGGTGGCCAGATCAGAAGACACACTATCTGGAATGTGCCCCTTGAGGGTCATTGAAATCACCCCACTACAAGGGAGTAGGTGGCTATTTGACATAGTAAAGATTTCCAGATAGCAGGATTGGGGAGTCCACCAGCAGTAGGATACAGCTCTACAGCAAACTATCTTGGACCCTTCTCCCCAAGTGCCTTTCACCAAACTGGACCCTCACTTTCCTCTTTAACTTTTTCCACCTAATGCTCTACCATTAAGTATTAAGTGCTGGGGTATTGACCCCTCTTCCCTTGCTCCTGCCCAGGGAAGGAGGTGAATGAGGCAACCACACTCTAAACACCTTGCCCTGATCAACTTTTATCTTCTCTACATATGTTTTGTGTTTTTGTGTGTTGGGGATTGAGCCCATGACCTTGCTAATGCAAGGCAAGCTCTCTACCACTGCACTCCAGCCCAGCTCAACCTTTTTTCCCCTGTAATATCTTATTAGTAATGGTGGTAGAGGTAGCAATAAAACTAAAACCAAAACTAAAACTAGTACCAGTACTAATACATAATCGGTTTGAAATGACTTCTCTGCCATTCCCAAAGCCGGAGGGCGGAGGAGGCTGCCAGGGTCTTGGAGCGATTGGACAGTCCTAGCTCAGCTGCTTTGGGACGGTGTGTGTTTGTGGAGTGTGTGTGAATAATGGTGGTGGGGGAGGGTGGACAGGGTTCCGGAGGGGGGTGGAGGCAGGAGAAGGAGGAGGAGGACAGTGGGACAGGGTAGAGTTTCTGGGCGGGGAGGGGGGCGCTGGGGCATAGGGACGGGAACCAATGAGCTGCCAACTCGCGCGTCTCCGGCGTGACTGCAGAGATTGACGTGGAGGACACGTCAAATTGATTCTCGCACGCTGCAGCTTCCCGGTCAGACGAATTTCTCCAAATCGGATGAAGTTCACCCTAGGCCTGGGGTCGCGGGCGTGGAGAGTGTTCTGGGAGCGGGCGGCAGCGGCGGCGGCAGGCCCTGCGGCGGGCGGCTGCGCTCTCGGAGGCGGCGCACTGCGCTGCTCCAGCCCGCGGCCGGGCCGCCGCGGCTCTCGGCTTGCGCTCGCCCTCCCTCTATGCCTCTCCGGCGGTGGCGGCGCCCGAGCTCTCCCGGACTGCGCCGGGCCCAGCCCCCGCCGTTCCGGCGCCAGGCAACTGGCTGGCCCGCGCGCTATGGGTAAGGGGCGAGAGGCAGCCAAGGGCGCGGGCGGGCTGATGAGGTGGGTCGAGACTCTGCACCTCCCTTCCCCCTGGCAAAAACGGTCCTGGGTCTTGGACGACCAGCATTCTCCACACGTTCCCAACCCTCAAGGGCAGTTCCTCAAGTTCAGGGAGGGAATGGCCACAGTAGGTGCTCCAAATGTCTCGAAAGGGCACGGAGGGCTAGAGCGCTCAGTACTCCCCTTCGCGGACTCTCCCGCCTGCTCGTACTCTTGGAGCAGGTCCCGGGCTGTTTGCCCTCGGACTCTGAGCTGTCTGGGGACCTGTGGGTCACCTTCGGAGTCGCGCCTGGGTACAGTCCATCTTCCCGCGTGGCCCCCTTGGCTAACCCGCCGGTGTTTTCTCCCCCCTTCGGCTCACTCTTGCCTGGCGTATCCGCAGAGCAGACGTACGGCGAAGTGAACCAGCTGGGCGGTGTGTTCGTCAACGGCCGCCCCCTGCCCAACGCCATCCGCTTGCGTATTGTAGAGTTAGCACAGCTGGGCATCCGACCGTGTGACATCAGTCGGCAGCTCCGAGTCTCCCATGGCTGCGTGAGCAAGATCCTGGCGCGCTACAACGAGACCGGCTCCATACTGCCTGGGGCCATCGGGGGCAGCAAACCCCGCGTCACCACTCCCAACGTGGTCAAGCACATTCGGGACTACAAACAGGGAGACCCTGGCATCTTTGCCTGGGAGATCCGAGATCGGCTGCTGGCCGACGGCGTCTGCGATAAGTACAATGTGCCCTCGGTGAGCTCCATCAGCCGCATCCTGCGCAACAAGATTGGCAGCTTGGCGCAACCGGGGCCGTATGAGGCAAGTAAGCAGCCGCCACCCCAGCCTGCGCTGCCTTACAATCACATCTACCAGTATCCCTACCCCAGCCCCGTGACGCCAACGGGCACCAAGATGGGCAGCCACCCTGGAGTCCCGGGCTCGGCGGGCCACGTCAGCATCCCGCGTTCATGGCCCTCGGCACATTCGGTCAGCAACATCCTGGGGATCCGGACGTTTATGGAGCAAACAGGTCAGTTGTGGCGCCGTCGGTAGCGCTCTATTAAAGGGCAGAATTCGGGGCGGGTGGACTCAGTTGCGAGCGAGAGAGGTTATATGCCTTCCTCCTCGAACAGTTTCTGGCTTAAGGAGAGAGATAGGACTGTCCAGGGAGGTTGGGGGTCCAGCATCTTCTGTGAGAATCCTCGGACATCTTGAACTTTTATGACAAATATGGAAAATATTTTCCTAATGGAAGTGCAGTCGCCGACCGCAAATTCGAAGGCCTGAAATTGAGCTTTCTCATTCTTGCAAAAAGAATGCAATCGCCTATCGCCAAATGAAGCTAAACGAATGGCGCAGGCCATTCTGCGACCCTTTCTTTAGCTTTCAGGATCTCTCACCGTTCCCTAAGAGTTCTGTCTCTCCTCCTCTCCCCAGGCGCAGCGGCCCGTTTGAGTAAAAGGGAAAAGGGTCCTGTGGTAGGTTTTGTGGAGTGGCCCAGAATGCTAAAGGGTCCAGAGGCTTTGCAAGTCCCGGAGTTGGGATCGCGGGTAATGACGTCCCTCTGACTCTAGCCACAGTCACAAAGACTTTCCCTTCACCAGCAATTAAAATTCATTCGACTCTTGGTAGTCTATGGTGGAGTGAAAAGGGGGGAGGTTTGGGGAAACTTTGGTGTTTGGCGCGGAAAGGACTTTTCTCTCCCGATTGTCCCTTGCGAATTTGCGAGGGTGGAGTGCAAACTCAGCAGGAGGGCAAGAAGTAAAATTCACTTCAACCCAGGAGAAAGGAGAGGCGGCTGGAAAGAAACTGGGAATGCTTAGCTTTTGCATCCTTGATGCTCGCCTCTGAGGCCGAGCATACATTTTCTCCTGGTGACTCTAACCCAGCCTGGGCCCACCGCGGGTACCAAAGCTTCCCAGTTGCGGCGGGCAACTGGTTGGGAGGTGACTCCACCAGGCCTGCGCTCAGATCTAGAGTTTTTCCCCCGTTCCGTGGCACACCCCTGAGGGAGGAACAGATGTGTTCCTGGGACTTGCGCTTGTGTCAGGGTTGACTCCTCTTTTGGGAGACCCGTGGTGTTCCCGAAGGCAGTTCAGGGCAGAATTGTCTCCCAGCCCATCAGATTTTTATTGAGACGTTGAGAAATCTACATAATATTATGAGGCTGTAATGAATTTGAACTTGGTCCTTTCTGCTTGCCGCCTCTGGACAGCGGAGTGGCTGCTTTGGCCAGCGGAGTGGCTGCTTTGGCCGCGTGCGCTTAGCCTCTGCTCCACAGGAGGTCTTTTTGTAGAAAGCGGGTCGAAAGTTAGGTGAAGCAGAACTTCAGGCCCTTCTGCCTTTCTTTCCAGTGCCGGCCAGGAGTGAAAGCGAAACCCGCCCAGATGTCCCTCTGTCTCTCCAGGCTCTTAGACTTCCTGGCATTCCAACCGGGATGTCTGGTTGCGCCCGCGGATACTAGCTGGGTAGCTGACTTGAGTGTAAAAGTCTAGGCTGGAGTCCCTGTGTGTGCCCATTTCCAGACTCTGATGCATCTTGTAATCCGTCCCGTGTCCCCCACAGGGGCCTTGGCCGGGAGCGAAGGCACCGCCTACTCTCCCAAGATGGAAGACTGGGCTGGCGTGAACCGCACCGCCTTCCCCACCACCCCAGCGGTGAATGGGCTGGAGAAACCTGCTTTGGAGGCTGACATTAAATACACTCAGGTAACTAAGAGACAGGCGAAGACGTGAGCTTCAATAGTCTTATGGAAAGTGTTGGGGCGGAGAGAGGAAGAGAAAGAATGGTGAAGAGCTTCCCAGAGCGTTTAGGCCAGCGAGCATCGGCGGCATATTTCTGTCCTTTCAGTCGCACTAGTTTGGAGGAGGCTGGTTTTTGAGGGGACTGACTTGCCTTTTGATAAGATAGCTTAGTTAAAAAACAAAGAAATAAACTGGAAATCGGGACACAGATGGCCTTGGATCCCCTTTCTCTAAAGCCCACTAGTAACTACAAGACTTCCTCATCTTTCACAGTCATTTATAACATTTGCTTGGATTTTTAGAAATCACTTTGCCAAAGTCCTTAATAAGAAAATGGGTGGCCAGGCCTCGCGTAGGGGTAAGTGGCGGAGACTGCAGAGGAAAGTGAGGAGAGCCCTCATCTCTCAATGGCTTGCACTGGAGAAGATAGCGGGATTACCTGCTGACCGCCTGACCCTTTCTATCCCGCAGTCAGCTTCAGGCCTCTCTGCAGTGAGCGGTTTTCTCCCTGCCTGCGCCTACCCAGCTTCCAACCAGCATGGCGTGTACAGCGCGCCTGGTGGCGGCTACCTAGCCCCGGGCCCGCCCTGGCCACCCACACAGGGACCCCCGCTGGCACCTCCCGGGGCAGGCGTTGCAGTGCACGGTGGGGAGCTAGCAGCAGCAATGACCTTCAAGCATCCCAGTCGAGAAGGTGAGGAGTACCGGCTGGGAGGGGTTGGGTGGGTGCTGGACCGGTTGGGGGTGAGCCTGATGGTAGGGGTGGAGGAGATGGAGGGACTGGGACCAGGAAAGAAAGAGAGAGAGGGAGAAGGGGAGGGGGAAGGAAGGAGGGAGGGAGAGAGAGAGAGAGAGAGAGAGAGAGAGAGAGAGAGAGAGAGAGAGAGAGAGAGAGAGAAAGAAAACAGGAGCGCTGGGGTAGGTATTAGGCATACATATTTTGAGTTAAATGTTAACCCTGTAGCTTCTTGGAGCTGATTCATTTCTAGGGTTTCCCAAGAAGGATACACCCACCGGAGGGGAGGTTGAAAGAGGCCCAGGACTGTATCCTCTGATCTAAGGAGAGAGGGAGAAAAGGGTCAAGCTGGCAAACTAGACTCCTGAGTTTGAATCTGGTTCTTTTACCACTTGCCAAGTTATTGCTCCTTTCTGGGCTCCATCCTTAGACGGGTCTAGAAATCACCTTCCAGGCCCACATTGGTGTGGTCTGAAAAATTTTGCTTTCCATGGGACCTGTCCCCGGGCTTTAAGCCTACTGGTGAGTTTGAACTTGCCAGAGTCAATTATACAAAATAGTTTTTCTGTTTCCACCTCCACACCTGGACTCTTCCAATGTCACTGCCCATCTGTTCCTTCCAGGCCCTACTTCCTTTTTTGAAAAAAAAAAGAAAAAAGAAAAATGGGCCTCCCCCTTAGGTTTTTTTTTTTTTATCTCTTGGGAAAGGAGAGGGTATTTCAATCATGAGTCTCTAAACTCAGGCTTTGAACTCTATTTGTGTTTTGTTTTGGGGTCCTTCTTTCCGAGAGTAATGTGGTTGAGAGTTCTAATCCCTCCTCCTTGTCCTCCTTTTCTATAAATCTATTTCCTTTTTTTTTTCATTTTTCTTTTATTATTCATATGTGCATACAAGGCTTGGTTCATTTCTCCCCCCTGCCCCCACCCCCTCCCTATAAATCTATTTCCTAACAAGCCAGACATTTGAAGGAGTTCATCTACAGTTAGTTGGCAGCTTGAGGGGGATTTTACACTGCACACTGGGTTCTGGATTTTTTAAAATTTAATTTGAGAAAGTTCACCTGCCCTGAGCCTCTATTTTCCTTAGTAACCAAAATGGTTGGATTTGCTTTTTTTTTTTTTTGGTACTGAGGCTTGAACTCAGGGCCTTCACCTTGAGCTACTCCACCAGCCTTATTTTTGTGAAGGGTTTTTTTGAGATAGGGTCTCATGAACTATTTGCCCAGGCTGGGTTTTGAACCACAATCCTCCTGATCTCTGCCTCTTGAATAGCTAGGATTATAGGCATAAACCACCAGTGGACTTGCTAATTTTGAACCTGCCTGTGTTTAGTTTTCTTAGTAACTTCACCTGAGGATGGGGGAATCACCTCATGGGGTCGAGCTCCCCAGAGAAGGAGAGAACAAAGCAGAAGGATCTCTTGGGTCAGGCAGGGAAGCATGTTCCCTATTACAAAAGGGTTTTTACCAGCTGATCAGCCTCATATCTGTGGCAGTGAGAGGTGACCCATGGGCTGAAGGGCTTTTTTCCTTGTTGCCTCCCAGGCAAAAATTGCTATTTCCAAGTAGTCTTGATGAGAATGGGTAGCATGGATCTAGGGGACAAGAGGGCATTAATGTGCCATCCATGACAGTGAAATGAAGGAAAAAAATAGTTTTCTTTTTAAATTTCCATCTGTCCTAGAACACACACATCCTGGGATATTAGGATAATGATCACTTGCCTAATTATAGACAAATCCAATTACAAAGATTTAGAAGAATTTATAAATCATTTAAAACTTAAATTTAACTTAAATAATTGGCTGCTCATTTAGAAGAAATTCAGATAAAGAAAGAATTTTAAAACAGAGAATTAGAACTCTTAGAAGCCTACCTTTAAGGATAGTTAAGAGGTCTTAGGGCGAGGGCTTCACTCAGTTAATTGTACTTGACTTCTCATGTACCTACTGATCCCTAAGATTGCTGGAATTGAAATGAAATTTGCCTCATTGCACAAACCATTTAACTGAGCAATTTCATTTGCATTCAAGGAGTAGATCAACAAATTTAAATGATTTCCCCTGGGTTGAGCTCAAGGAGGAAGATTTAGAAAAAAAGACCCACTAACTCAGAGGGAGGCAGTCACTTTCCAGCAGAGCCACTTTGTCCTCAAGGCATTTCAAACTCTACATTAAAAACAGATTATGAAGTGTAGATAATGATCCAAGGGTTAACGCATGTGGATTCAAATTCTAAACTACTTGTAGTTAACTTGGGAGGGGATGTTGCTTTAACTTTTGGGTTCATTATTGATTGGTCTTCTATAGTAGACACTTTACTTTTCAGAAATATAAAACCATTGAGTGGTGCTAGTATTAATGCTCTTCTTACCCTCATATCTGCTTTCTAATATGAAATATCCTACCTGTTTTCAAAATCCACAACCTTAATTAACTACATTGGTTATTAAACTCATAATTTAATATCTCGATCCTCACATAGAACAACTCAGCCTCATCATTTATAATGTTCTCAAGCTAGGATGTAAGGGTTTGTGTTTGAGGCGCATAAACTAATCACTCATTATATGTCTGTTTTCACGGCATGAGAATTATGAACACAATTGTGTTATGAAGTTTCACTCTTCTGGTTGTTAGAAAAACTGACTCCAAAGATTCCCTTAAATGGATCTTGAATAAAAGTAAATACAAATTACTGCTTTTTTATTTTCTAATCATCTCTAAAGAAATTAATATCTTGAAAGAAATCTACCTCATAAGACAGTTTGCTATCATTAATTGCGTTTAACTCATAACAGTTAGATTATCATTTTCTAAAATTATCTTCGGTAAAAATTTCTTTACCGAAAGCAATTTAATATCATGAATGCTCAATAAAAACAAATACTTTTGATCATGTAGTGCAACACACAACACAACACAATAAGATACATATGTATCAGTGTCCTCCAAATTAGGCACAAATGAATGTCTTAACTGTTACCCTGAAGGAAGTCTAATCAAATGTTAAATTATGCATCACAATTTATTAACTATCTTGGTGAAAGGTAGTGAGTCTGTCTGTGTTCTCATTATCTAGGCAAGGAAGTATGATTCCCCTGAAAGGAAACTAATTGTTGGGAACTGAGCAAGAGAATAGGAAAGGTTCACTTCACCTTCTTGTGGAGGGGTTATAACATTCTAGGAACCTCCATACCCATTCAAGTGTCTTCTCATAGCCATGATAGGACATTCCTTCCCAAAGTGACAGACCCCCACCAGACCACCCCTCAAGATAGCTGGCATTCACAGCCCTGTTTTTGGAGTTCTAAAATCCCTTCCAGCAGGGTTCTGGAAAGATCATAAAGATTTGGAAATCAAATCTGTATGATATTGCAAATGCACAAAGAAAAATGTGTTGTATTTACTAAAGATAACTCGCAGCTTTATTTCAGTTATCTCTGCTCCAGGATTAGTACTTCGATGATCCTAAAAACGAATTTTGTCAGGGATCACTAGGAGGCTCAAATTCTTGAGTCACAGAGTTCAGTGGCCAATCTCAATCTCATTTGACCTAGCCTGGAAGATCCCCACATGTTGGTTCTTGCTCCCAGGGTGCCCTGCAATTTCATCTAGTCCCAATATTTTAAAAACTCCTCTCTCCTTTCCTGCTCCCTGCAACTAAGCAAGCCTGCAGTGTCTGACTCCCCGTCTAAACCCACAGACATACCTATTCATATCTCCTGGGGTCCTGTGGAAGGGAATGGAAGGAAGAGGAGGCCCATGGGGAGCATCTGCAGCTGACAAAGCTACAACACAAAGGATGCGCCTGCCCCTGAAATCCATCTCCCCGCTCCCGGGTGTTTATTTTTTAGGAGTTCATTTTTCACTCTTGTCTCTAAGGTAACCGGCCCTTGACTGAGAAGCCTTCTCCTCCTCCTCCTCCTCCTCCTAAGTTTTCTAAACAGGTCCTCACTTTGAAGTGTGTGGGCCAGGTGGAAAGAAAAGGTGGAACACTTCATTGGCTAGGTAGTCACAACTGAGTTTGGGAAAAGAGTTGAGAAGTGGGAAGAAGCTAAGAGATCGTTCTGTCCTCTTGCAAGTCCGTCGGAAGCCGTGATATAGCTATACATCTAGATATCTCTGTGTGTGTGTGTGTGTGTGTCGCTTGTACTGAGGTGTTCCTTCCAGTCGGGGCATTCACAGCAAGTTGTGGCAGGAGTTGTGATGAGGACAGCTAGCAATCTCTCACCCCGAGTTGAGGAGTCGAAACTCCCCCTGTAAAAGAGTATTTGTTGAGGGAAAATTGAAAATAGGACTCTTTAGGTGTTTTTTGGTGCAGGAAAAGCTGAGCGGCCCGGGGTTGGGAAAGTAAAACTAGGGTTGTACAATGGTGGCGTCACTTTCTGGCTTCCAGTAGCGAAATTTGGGCCCCTTCCCCAAACCCCAAGTAATAGAGCAATGTGCAGAATACCGCCTGATCTGGCCAGCCCACTGTCACTTAATCCGGAGGCCCATAGTGCCTTAGACTTGCAGTACCCACATTGGTGAGCGCAACTGGGTTCCCCGGCCTCGTGGGCAAAACGACATCTGCTGCTCACTTAAAGGATGACCTCCTCTTAGGTCGGAGGCCTTTAGGCCACTCCTGGCAGGAATGTTTTGGGAGCTGGTTTCCCCAGATCTCTCCCTGCGCATCTCCAGCCTCATTGAGCGGCCCGCATTCAGGAGCTGATGCTCCCCGCACCTGTGCGCCCCGATGGGGGGCCTGGAGTGAGTAGGTGGGTGGGACACCAAGCACGCTCAGCGAAGATGTTGTCTCAGCTAAAGTTTCCACCTGATCAGAGCAGGCGATGAACACTCAGGTGTAAAGGGAACAGCACTGGGAATGGGAGTGCATGCCAGGCGGAGTGGCCCACCACGGCGACCCACTTGCCAAGCTCTCCTTGCGCAAGACTCCCTGAGGGGAGAGGGCAGTTTGGACGCCCGGAGAGCGAGCGCAGGTGTTCACCTCTAGCGTGCATCTGCTAGCGTCCTGTGCCCTTGGGTCGCATGCCCTGCGCTAAGTAGTGACCCGATGCCCCTGTGCTTACTCCCGTAGTGGCCGATCGGAAGCCACCAAGCCCTGGCGGCAAGGCCCCCGACGCCCTTAGCAGCTTACATGGACTGCCCATCCCGGCCTCGACCTCCTAGGGGCAGCTGTCCCCGAGCCCGAGCCCGGCCGGGAGGAACCGGCGCAGCGGCAGGAGACGCGGGCTGGACCAACGACACGCGGAGGAGAAGCCGGAGCCGGCCGGCGCTGCACGCTGAGTCTGCCCCGACCTGCTTCGGGCCTGGCCCGGCCCTGCCCCGCTACACTTCCCTTATGGGCCGGATTTTTTTTTTTTAAACGCTTTTCTGAACCTCGGCTTTAGACTATTGCACTCTGGTGCCGGAGACTCTAGCTCCGACGTGCCTCCCTTGCCTCGCCACCCTTACATTTCTTTTTTGTCTTTCTTTTCTCTGTCTCCTCTTCCTCCCCTCCCTCTTTCCTTTCTTTTTTCCTCGCTCTCTTCCTTCTTCCCCTCCGTCCTTCCTTTTGCCCTATTTTCTCTCATTTATTTCCATTCCTTTCCGTCTTTCTCTTTTGTCTGTTGTTCTTCCTATACTTTTTTTCTCCCCCTTTACAGTTGAGGGTTCTATTTCCCTTCATTCGTACTGCTTCCTTGATTCCTTCTCCAATTCGGGAAAACCCCAGACGTCTCACCCCACAATTTCTCCGGCCCTTCTGAGATCTCCAGTCCTAAGGGAGAGAGGTTTGAACCTAACAATCAGGCAGAGAAGCCGCAGCTTTTATTTTATATTTTCGTAATAACAAACCAGAGCACAACCTCCGTGAACTGTCCTCTCGCCCAGAGTATATTGTCTGGAAATCTGTATTTTCTCAGCGCCCAGTGGCCGGGCTTCTCTTTTGATTCTGAGATGATGGGGTAGGAGTAAGGGACACTGGGTCTGTTGGCGTTTTCAGTAATGGGGTGCCTTCTCCCTCCCAACAAATGGTAAATGCATCAGCATTGTTTTTTGGTGTTCAGGGGTCAGCACATTTGTTAATTTAAAGCACAAACTGCTTCAGGTTATCAAGGTTCATTGGAGCTTCTGGTTTGCAGGGGGTTGGGGGTAAAAATCCAGAAAGTGTCTTCTGAAGCCAGACCCAAGGGCTGTTCAACTGATTTCAAGTTCAGGCACACTGGTGGTGGGAACCTTGGATATAATACAATTTTATAGTCATAAATATTTCACTGGTGAGAGTCAGACATCACCTGTTGAACCTAGTTGCCTTGAATAAAGAAAAGTGTCTGAAAGTCGCTTGGTAAGGGAGAGCAAGTCTGTCCTCTGTGGAGTGTTGTGTGCTCCTCTACCCCCTGAGTTCCCGGATGGACACTATCAGAAGAAATTATTTTATTGGTTTACTGGTGAGCACTTACTGCCCAGGTTGGGAAACAGGTGGAAAAGAAATTGACCTGAAAGGGGGCATTCCTTCATAGTGTGTGCAGCTTGATGTGTCCTTCCCCTCAGGGATGGACTTATCAGAGCTCCAGAAAAAGCCAGGTCAGCCCTGGGAACTGAGGGGAGAGGCAAGAAGTAGAAATCATCCTAAAATAAGTGAATTTTAAAGGAATAAAATGGACACAAGGCAGTGAGCAACAGTAGAGGGCTTTAAAAGAACATTTTTAACATTCTAAAAGCTAAAGAAAATTATCTCAGGTTACCAAATAGTCAGGGTTTTTTTTAAGTACAAAGGAGTTTCTGGCTGATTGTTTTGGTTTTCCTCCCTGTGTTTGGCTTTCTAAAACTGATGGAAGAGATTTTTGAATTGAAGTTATTGCTTGTAAGTGGAGCTGCCAGTGCATTGTCTGCTCTGGACCCATCAAGAGAACCAGTGGGAAATGGTTTTCATTGCATCTTTTTTGCAGTATTGCTGTTGAAAATATCAATCATAAAATGGTGCCTGCTTTTTCCCACATATAGAGACTTTTCTTCTTAGGTGTTCAAAGTCCCATCTTCTTAAAAAAAAAAGTTCCAACTTCTAGATAGGACTATCAAGGACCAGGAATTGGATTTATTTTCTCTAGATCACACAGCAAGTTATGATGTACAGGGCTTGGGGCTTGGGTCTGGAACCCAAGGACATCAGCTCATCTGAGAGTCAGAATTGGGACTTGAACTTTGAGACAGGAGTGATCAGCCTTCTGTGCGGCAGTAGTTCTTTCAGAGAAGCTGGTTATAATGGTAATAGTAGGAAATAAGGAAAAAGAAGCTTGTTTCCCAGTCCTGGTCTTCATCTGCGTACATGAAGCTGACATGCTCAGTCCTGGCATCATAGACAGGAATTATTACCTGTTCATCCTTATTGCTGGAGAACTGGCTTGTTGAGGCCAGGGGGAAGGCATGCAACTCTTCTGAAAATATAAGAAATATTTGTAAGACAGTCTTTATTTTTGACTTGTCACCACCTACTTTCCTGCCACTCCCTCCTGTTTTCAGGCTGCTCAGGGTTAAGGGCGAGGAAACCTGGTAAATGATGGTCAGGACTTTATTTTAAATGCCACCTGCCAAGGGAGGCACTTTGGGTGAGCTTTCAGGGAGGACAGGTGGCTTTCAGACACAATGCCAGCAGGCTTTAGCATTTCATGTGAGATACAGAAGACATACCCTCTTTCCTGAGACTGTTGGCTGTGGAGAGTCCCGGTGAACTTGGTTTAAATTCTTGCTCCACCTCATGCTGTAGAGGACTATGGCTCTCTGAGCTTCTGTGTTCCCATCTGTGAAATGCACCCTTCCAATGTGGTACCACCTGCAGGCACCTGGCCTGTAGAAAGACTGGCACTGTTACTGCTTCAACTCTCTCCAGTTGATTTTATTTAGCTGTTAAAAAGGATTGGGTAAAATCATTTCTAAGGTTGAAAGGGGATCCAGAATTTAAATTTAAATATTTTTTCAAAAGATCCCATTGGAAGATGGCATGCATAGGGATCTGAGGAGGTATTACAGACTCATAATAAACTTAGATAGCACCATTTCAGGTAGATAAGTTGAGAAAGAATCACTGCACATTGGTAATTTGTCTTTGCACTAGCACCTGCCTTTTCTTAAGAATATTTTTGAAAAATATAGACATATCAAAAAGAAAATTGAACAAAGAAAGACAAATTGCCCAGATGGCTCTTTGATAGCTTTAGAAGAATGAGGGTAATATACAACCATCACTAAAGAACTTAAGCAGTATTGAGACAGTAAAAGGAAAACTGAAAGTTTCTTTGTACTCTCATCACTGTCCTTAAAGGTGAATGCTGTTGCAGTCTTTCATGAACTTTTCCAGCAAAAAAACAACTATAGGCAGCAGAACATGTGTTCCTGTCCATGTGCTGTTTAGACGTGCACGCCAGAGTCATGCTGTACACACAGCTTTGGGCTGCAGACCTGCTCTCAGCGTACGAGCAGCTTCGGCCCCACCATGTTCACTTTATTCTCTTGAGTGGATGCATATCAACAAGGGTGTATTAACAACCCTGCATTTGGAAAGAGGACCAACTTTGTGCTGTAGATGAATAAAGACAGCATTTTTTCATCATCGTTGTAGGGAGCACTTAGAATAGATTATAATAACTTCCCTGGGAAAAGTGGCTGCTTTCTGGCAAGGAGGAGAGAAAGCAATTCCAGAGAAAGGAGACCAGAGGGACAAAAGACACAGAGCCTTGTCCTTCTTGAAGACACCATGATTTCCACAAACCATGGAAGGGCATTGGAACCTGCAAGGGGGTGGGGAAGCAGTGTTCCCTTCTTTTGAAGAGAGTAAGTCTCTCTGGACCAGGAAAGAGAAACAGAGGCAATGGAGTGGGGAAAAACATTGAAGAAATACTGATAATAAATAAATAAAATTTAAATATCCATCATTGGTGTAAACATTCTTTTTATCTATCATATATTCACTGAAGTCCACATTGAATTAACCTCTCAGACAAATGTACTCCCCCCATTTGTTTGTTCCTTGACTCCTGTAAAGAGATTGGGGTTTATTTAATTGAACTGTGATCCAGGTAAAGCACACTGCAGATCTGCTGGCACCCTCTCTCTTAGTTAGAATTACATCAGCTAGGGTTTCTTTTCAAAAGAAACCCTACCTGTTCCATGTTATGCTGGATGATATGAATTTAGAATCTTGCCAGAATGTGCCTGAGGAACTCAGTTGAAAGGATTGAGCATCCAGACAGGTCATGTAATGAGAAACATTTGATGCTTTTCTTTTAATGGGCGGGAATTATGCACAAACTGGTATTTGGTCTTCATCTTGACCTTTCTGTCTGAACTACAGCCTCATTCATTGAAGAAATGTCTTGTGGCTGAAATATTTCTGCCTAAAACTTTGTATCTAACCTAATTTTTTTTCTGTTGTTGGAATTTTTTTTTCTTTTTTAAGAGTAGAATAAGGAGGAATCTCACTGTCATCTTTCTCAAGGCCATAAAAATCCCCCACACATTTAGCCCCAAACCACCTTGGGAATTCTAAACACTTGGAACAATTCTACTCAATTTGGTCTAGTCCATTCTTTGGAGTTGAAACCGGCTGGAACCCATGTTCACTCTAAATAGCATTTCTTCAGAAGGTACAGCCTGTGATTCTCATTGAAACACATCTGTTTCTGGGCTGGCCAAATCCAAAAGTGGAATCCCCATTACAGTTTTCATGGGTGATAGAATTTCGACTATATTACAATTTAACCACCTGGGTTGCCTTCACTCTCCCTTTTTCTTCTTAAGGATGAAATAAGCCGATCAAGCGTTCATTCAACTATTAAATTACATTTCCATTCTGTAACGTTTTATTTCCTTTTTCTCTGGTGAGATATATTGACTGGATAGATTATCTTCAGTGTCTTTTCTTACATCGACCATGCAATTTTAGCTTTCACGAATTCTCCCAAATGTTAGTGTGGATGCGGTTTTAGTATGTTAAGATTTTCTGTTACCCCAAACAACAAACAATACAATAAAGTTCTTTTGGTAATTAGATGGTTTTGGTCTAACAACAAACTTATTGGATAAAAACGAGACAAGACACTGACTTTTTGAAACGTTGAATTGGAACCTGAACTTTGTGAAACATAAGAAATTAAATGATACTTGAGCAAACCAATTGTGATATGATTAACTTGATCTAGAAAACGAAAGGTATCATTCTGG